ATTCGCGTTTCTCCTTGGCAACGCGCTCGCGTTTGCCAATTTTTTTTTTTTTTATTTTTTTTTCTTTTTTTTGCCCGTGCCAGAGGCAAGTTTTATCGTTCGCCGTTCGTAAACGATGCATCAATTTTTTTTAACGATACGTAGAATCAGCAAAGCTGGCAAATTCTATTCTCAGCGCTGACGCTCGGCTATCATCGATGCGTGAATATCGCGGACGCGCCTCCTTTTCTTATTCTTTTTTGCGACTTGCTTCTGCCGACTTAATCTCGTCTCGATTTTCAAATCGGCTCGGGGGGAGAATTCAGCAGCCAGACTCCGAGGATTCGCCGCTCCGATCCTTGGAGACTCGTTCCATGAAAATTACTCGAATTATTGAGTTATCAGTAAAGCATGTAACACCAGTGGACTTGGGACGAATGTCAGGAAATTATTGAAAATCCCTTCGAAATTCGTACGAACGTGTCGATCTTGGCAACTTCGGAATATAAAATTTTAAAAACAAATTCAATGTTAATGTACAAACACCGCGTGTTTTCATTTTAGGGAAAATCCGTTCGGGGAGGAGCAGTTGTTTCTAAACAACACCGAGGTCCTTTACGCGTCCCATTTCAACGAAAGTCGTCCGACCAAGTTCATTGTTCACGGATTCAGTGACACTGGGAACGAAGTCTGGGTACGAGGTTTGATAGATGGTACGTAAACGAACCTTTCTCAACGATCGATCTCTTGCCTTACCCTCGTAACGTATCAATGGTACAAATTTCAATTTCAATTAAAAAAAAAAGAGAGAAAAAAATTTTAATTTTTAAAATTACGTCATCTATGTTGAATTACTAGATTACTAGACGTGGCAGTGTATATTGCTGACATTTGCTTAGCTACCAGCTACTGGGAATCGTAAGGCAAGGGATTGAAAGGAAACGAAGCGAATTAAAAATAGAGAAGAAGAGAACGAAAGAATTTCTAGAAATATCGATGACGGCCGAGTCAGTGAAATTTAATTACAATCAGGGTCAATCCGTTTCGGTAAACACGGAATCGACGTCGCCAGGTTCAAGGGTCAGCGTGATAACGAGTTAATTGATCACTTAACAAGCTTTTTGCTCTCTCGCGCCAAGAATCTGACGTAATTTTCAGAAATTTCGATTTAGAAGTCTCTCTCAAGACTTCAGCCACCTTCCAGCGAATCAGTTGCACGATATACATATAAAATTATCTTGCAATCATTCCTTTGGAAGGGTCACAAGGAACATATTTAAATCAATGATTAGCTGTTTGACACTTCAAACGATCGTGTGAATTACGTTGTGTAACACGTGCAATTTTCGTTTAATTAAAAAATGAACGTGAAGGATATGTACTTCCTTTAATACCAATTATTCTTTCATTTGCAAAACTTTAAAAAGGATTTGTCTAAGACTTTGCCAGACAGATTTTACACCTCTCAATCCGTAAAGTTTCAGATTCTTTTTCTTGTTACATCTCGCATTGGATTCGCGTGAAACTCGGTCTAGTGTCTCCATTTTTCAACGATTTTTTTTTTTAATATATCTTCTCTCGTGTCATTGACTAATCGAACATTGAATTCACGTACGATTACCTACGAATGATTGCAGCGTATCTGCTCCACGAAGATGTGAACGTGATAGTGGTCGGATGGGGAGTTTTGGCATCTGACCTTTATCCAGTAGCGGCGAATAACACGAAGAGGGTGGGCAAATTTCTTGGTGACTTCTTGGAATTTCTGAACCGCGAGTCAAATCTCGAGTACAAGGACGTTCACATCAGCGGTCACAGCTTAGGTTCACACGTGGCAGGATTCGCTGGTGCCTACCTGGATGGACGTATTGGCAGAATAACAGGTGTGTTTCGATTGAAATATATCTATCACTGGTTTAGAGAGTTTGCCAATTTCTCGTGTTCTCAATTAAAGGAATAGTACATAAATAATGTCGTTTTTTGACACTAATAATACAATTTAAATCTAATAATACAATCTCCATCGTAATTGACAATCTTCGCCCATCTCTCTGACAAACTTTCTATTCCCTTTTTGTAAAATAAAGGTGAAATTTTGAAATAAAATATTAATTAAATTTGAAAAAAAAGAAACGATATTACTTATGGGTATACCTAATATTTCGTAGTTTTTAGTCTATTTCCAATACCAGCAATTGTAGATCACAGGTTCGTTATCTTGCAATTTCTTAACTAATTCGAAGGCCTAGATCCAGCCAGTCCACTGTTCGAAACGATCTCCGGCCCCGTCGAGCCAGAATTCAGATTGGATCCAACCGATGCTCAATTCGTCGACGTAATTCACACGAGCGGAGCTGCATTTGGATTTCTGGCGCCGCTTGGTCACGCCGATTTTTATCCGAACAACGGGAAGTTCCCGCAACCCGGATGCTCCTTCCTACCGACCACAAGTAAACGAGTTTCATTCCTTTCGTCAAATCTTTCACGGAAAGCATCTCACGGTGCAGACGAATTTTAATTAGAATTTAACATCAATCAGCTTACTGCAGCCACTCGCGAGCGCATCAGTTCATGACGGAGAGCATAGGTAGCACGGCTGGTTT